AGCAATAAATGTATATCATGCAATAACGCAATAACGTGATTAATTTTTTTTTGCTTCTGCGTTTTAAACCAAAAATAAAATTATTACCTTGTTAATGAAAGAGGTAGACTCCACATGATAATTTGTACATCTGCACAAAACAACACAGCCAAGCATACCAACCACTACAAATTAATATATGTACGTCATTAAAACCTCAGATGCTTTTTATAATAGATATATATTTTTTTAAAGTCCAGAAATACAACGAAAATTATTCTTCTCTAAGTTCCACCAGGGGGAGGTAACACTGATATTTATGCCATTGAATTTATATCTCAAAATTTATATTGTGGGAGGAATGACAAGTTTATATATTTACATTTTGAGGTCTCTTTGGTTAGGTTAACTTTAAGGAAAAAATATTTGTACCTTTTTTTTATATGTATATTAATATATATATTTTTTCACCGAAAGATCTTCAATAAAAGTTCTAGTTTGTATCATATATTATCAACGCACTCGTTTGATATCGTAAGGTTCAGTGTTCATATATTTCTTCACATATCTATCATTCTAATTTTTCTTAGTGTTTACGTGTTAAAGTTTATCTGCCTCATTCTCGAAAACGATTCAGATGACGTATGGATTCGAAGCCACCGGTCGAGACCAAAACAAAAAGATTCGGACGAGTTCAAGAGTGTTTGGATGGCTATTTTTGATATGTGTTCGGTTATCGTCGAGGCTGAAAAATTACCGTAAGAGAGGGAAGAGTCCGAGCTCTTAGTGGCCTCTGTATCGACCTACTTGATGGTGAGACACTCGGACTCTTGTCACCACCACGAACTTTCTACTACGAGTACAACTCCTATTGAGTGTGTCTACTTTTCCATGAGTGCAAACATTCTGTGAGTGAGAGTAAAATGTTTGATAAGTGTCTATTGTACTCTGTGAAGTTAACGTGTTGTGTCTTAAAATATTTCGGAGTGAATAAACCGATTAATTGGAGTTGTAGGTTTTCTGTGAATAAAACGTTACTTGAGTGTGTGTGAGTGTATGTGTGTGTGTGTGTGTGTGTGTGTGTGTGTACGACGTAGGCCCGATAAACCACAGTCATATACAGTAAGTTATGACACGTATCGTTGAGTGAGTGAGTGAATAGTGAACGGTGTTAAGTGCTCTCTGTGTCTCCAGTAAAACCCGAATATGTATGCATCTATGTATCATCATGTATGTGTTGCGACAAGTATTATGTATACATCTACTCAGTCCATTCTGAAGTTCTTTCGGAAAATCTGAAAGCGTTAAATCCATTTCTTCACACAATTTCAGGATAGAGTTCAATAATTTGGTCTGATTTTTTTTCTATTAATTCTCTTTGAAAAATTTTGGCCGAGGGGTGAAGGAGGGATGAGTGGGAGGGGTTAGATGAGGTTATATTGCAAGTGACGCATTTGTTTGTATCTCTTATTATTATTATTATTTTTATATTCATTTACCGAGATTGACATAGAGGATACATACTGACTCTCAGAAAAATATTAACTTGAATATCAAGACGTCGTGAGAGGCGGTGTGTTTGCTGGTGGCCGATAGGGAGGAGGAGGAGGTCGACCCACACTGAGGATTTGGTCTTCAGCGTCGGCGAGGTGTACAAAAATGCGCTGACAGGAAATGGGTGAGATTTTTAGCCAGTTGTTTTACTTAAAAAGAGAAATTTAATTTAGATATTGGATTAGGGGCAGAATTTAAGTATGTGTAAAATGATCTTTGATTTTTTTAGATAAATTTAGTAGCCTTTTTCTCTTTTAGCAGGATCATAGTTAGTGATCTTTTGGTTTTGTTTATTGTTAATGAAAATATATTTATTTTTCAAAGGCCCCATATCTAGTCTACAAATGTTATATGAAATTACTGTCATTTTTTTTTGGCAAGTTCCAGTAAAATGCTAATCTAAAAATTCTTAATTATCTGAGTAAATGATTTAGCAACAATGTCTGACTTATACAATGTTCAGGTCTTAGAGTGACATCATGACCAACACAATATATGACGAATTAATAGAAGATAAAACTCATTAACTGTCTCTCAGAGGGCGGGGAGGCATAGAAATCGATCCAGCTTCCTCTTACCAACACAAGATACTGTAGTTGACTTTCTCTCTATAGTTCAACAATGAGGGGAAAAAATTGTTCTTTGAATCCTAGACACTATAAGCAGTTGTTAAATGTCATTACATATAATATAGAAATAGATATACAATATTTCACCGTAACATAAGATAGCCAGTAGTGTGTTGTCTGTGTGTTGTGATCTTCGTTTCATTATTGTACAGAAGCGGATCTTACTGTATCTAACTAACACAACATAACATAATCTTCACTAAATCTTTCAATACAAGCGTTCTCGATTTCTATGAGAGAGTTTTTTCATATATACTGAATGGAGTGTTTGAACCTTCCAATCAACTGAGTAATAATTGCAAGACTTATTTTTTTATATATATAGTTTATATATAGTTTCATCCTTTAGATCTAAGATAAGGATTACTCTCAGGTATATATCTTTTATGTTGTGGTCGAGTATGTTTTAGGGGTGAGCCCTCTGTGAGACAGTGGCTTCACGTTTACTTGTGTGAGCGCTGTGGTGGGTGGGTAAAGGCGAGTGTAGAGGCAGAGCAATAGAGGGAGGAGGCCGTAGTAAAGGCCATACCTAGGGTAAGTTTTTCGCCAGTGTCAGGGGGAAGTGAGAATCCAAGCAAAGTCATACTGCTTATCATGATACAGGGCAGAACCAGATTGTATAAGTAATAGATAGTGCGACGCCGAATCTTGATGTAGAAGGTAATGTCCACATAGGGCTCTGGGCAGCATTGGTACGTCAGTTCGTTTCGCTCACCAGGAACCTCTGTAAAATAACGTTAATTAGTGTAAAAAAAGGAGTGAGAGGAGCCTGAGGGGAGGAGACTGGAGGAGAGCGTCTCGTCATAGCTCGCTGGACGGCCACTGGGACTTTTGTTTTGATCAAGTGAGAGGAATAATAGTCTGAGTGTTTCCGCACCCATCGGCTCTCACACATCATCTCTTGGATTCTTTTCTTCTTCTTCTTTGCCTCTTATGGCTTCTCAATCGTGACAAGAGTAAAAAAAAAAAAATATATTTATAAATATTGAAAAATAAACAATTGTAGCCGGCGAAGGAATAGGAAAAGCAGAAATTGGTGGAACAACGGATAAGAAATAAGAGTATTTTGGGTTGGGTGGGAGATGGGATTTGGTTGTTGGTTTGTGAAGCTACCAGGAGCCGGGACTCTAATGGTTGGTTGTTCCCCTTCCGGCTCCTAGTTCAAGAAGTTCACCACCTCAGGAGGTCCTTAAATTAGTGTCTCTTCCGGCGCAGTTGGCGTGAGAAATCGGTGTTACCTGCCCCCCGTTAATGGGCAAACTGCTGAATCAAAACCATCGGTAATCACGGACAATCAGTCAAAATCCCGTCATTACCAAACTAACACTATAATATCAAATACTAATTACGTTTACAAGAGAGTAAAAAATGGATATAAAACGAATATAAACCATAATAATAATAACAATAATGATAATAATAATAATGGTACTCAATAATAATGATAATAACAATAATAATAATAATAATAACAATAATAATAATAATGATAAACAAGGACTATAGAACTCATAAGAGAGAGAGTTACAAGGTCTAATCATAACAGTGAAAGGAATGATTGTCCCAATGTATTAAAGGAAATGGTTACCTAGGGAGAGCTTCTCGCCACAGTCTGGGGGCAGCGTGAACCCCAGCACAGCCATTGACGCTATCAGCACACAAGGCAGAATAAGGTTGCAGAAATAATATAGTGTGCGCCTCCGTATGACAATTTCGAATGTAACGTCTACATACGGTTCGGGGCAACATTTGTAGTAAATGGCGTTTCTTTTCCCAGGGCAACCTAGAACATAAAAGGTAAGTGGTAAAAGTATGATATTATTTCCTAAGTATGACAACCGTGGAACCTGGGTACATGAGGGAGGCCGCTGGTGGTCACCCACCCACCACCTCTTGTTCACCTCCACTGGTGACAAACTTAGACAGTACAAGTGTTATTCCTTCTTTCCAGCCCGTGGTGACTCTTGTCCCGTACAACTACGGTGGATAACATTGAGTATATATATATATATATATATATATATATATATATATATATATATATATATATATATATATATATATATATATATATATATATATATATATATATATATATATATATATTACTTTATAAAGACTTAAGTTACAGCAGCAGGGAGTGTCTATATGCTTTACTTAACTACCCAGGTTTCACAGTATTTCGTCATCTGCCAAATCAAATATATCATTGTGTAAGTAAATCCTTAATGAATACTTTAGGCTACCATGACAACATACAGTGACAGTCCAATAACAGAGAAAATAATTTGATTTGGCATTCTTTAGCTCCCAAGAGTAGTGAAAAAATATTTAATCAACTTAGATCATGTTTAGTATAACAGGAAATAAACTAAATTTAAAAGCATCATTTATTATTTAAAGATTTTAGACAGACAAAGAGGAGGGAACAACACGTCAACAGGTTAAAAGGTTATGTCTCCACTGTTCCTCCCAGCCTCACACTCACGCAACATCATTCAGGAACATTAAACCAAACTTCCTTTAATCTCTAACTCTTGACGATATGAGAGATATTTCCTGAAACAGAAGTAGAAATATACCTTTTTCTCAAGTCTACCAAGAGATATACATCCCTCCAACAGTACCAGTAAACTCTTAGACCAACACGTAACTGACGGGAAATATCTGAACGTCGCATTAACCTGGCAAACACTGACACAAGAATCAATGGCAACTTTTGACTTAAATTCTATTATTATTTACATTTTTATTTTAGTACTATACTCGATGTGTGGATAAGTGGATCAGTTAATGAGGTTACCGTGTGAAAATCTAATGTGGATAAGTAGAACCAGTTAAGGCTACGGTGTGAAAAATTACTCGTGTTTTCTAACGGTGTGGCTGAATGGATCACATATCACCACCGTATAATTTAACTTCATGTTAGGTTGAGTTAGAAGGTAGTGATATGCTTCCACTTTCTCTCTCCTTATCTCTCGCTTTCTCTTGATTTTCTTCCTTCCTTCTCTATTATCTCTTCGTCTTCTCCGTTTCTCGACCCACACTCACCCCCCACCAATGTTGCTTCTTCTCTTTCATCTTCTCATTTTATTCTTCCTTCATTTGTCATCCTTGTTGTTGAGGTTCTCGTCTTTTGTCTCTTTCGTCTTTATCGTGTTTCTTGTTACCTCAAGTCTTCATTTTTGTACTTCCTCTTTTCCATTTTATTTTCATTCATTTCTTCCTTCTTCCATTATCCATAACTCACTTCATTCTTCTTCTTTCATGTTATTTTGTCTTATTAATTTCTACTGTTTCTTGTTCTTGCATGTGGAGGGGGGGTGGGGGGGGTGGGTTCATCAGCCCAGAATGCCCGTCTTTAATTACCTGACTGACGGATTATTTTCGAATGAGAGGGAGATTTTATTTCTTCAATGTAAGTTAACGCAGCCAAATGACTTGATTTTGTTCATTGATTATCTAGAGAGTGTGTGTGTGTGTGTGTGTGTGTGTGTGTGTGTGTGTAGAGTGTGTGTGAGTGTGTGTGGAGTGTGAGTGTGAGTGTGTGTGTGTGTGTGGAGTGTGTGTGTGTGTGTGTGTGTGGAGTGTGCGTGGAGTGTGTGTGAGTGTGTGTGTCTCACTTGTGTAAGGCGTAAGATAACTCCTGAGTAAAGATTATAACTATTTCTTCACTCTCACTACATCATTATCTCACTAGTTATCACGATTTTGCATTTTTCTTCGTCTTTTTTTTCATTTTCATGTTAATTATCACTCGTTTTCTTCACTTCTTTAATTCACCAATAAGAGGAGCAAGGTGTTGGCTAAGGAGGAGGACAGCAGCAGTCTTGTCACCTTATCCAGGACTCAACACCCGTTTATCTTGGTAAAGCGGGGTGAAGAACTTGCTCTTCAATCTGCCTTTCTCTCTCTCTCTTTCTTTCCCTGTAAGTCACATTTATCATATCTTTCTCCTCCTCCAACATTATCCGCATTTGTCTTTCTTCATTTCTCTCTTTCTATCTGTTTATCTCATCTGATCACTGTTTCTCTTTCATTAAAAACACCCTTTACTTTTCTCTTCCATCTCCTTCCATCATCTCCTTTCTCCATCATTCTCCTTCCAATATCTGTTCCGTATTCACTCCTAGCGTCCGTATATCAAAGGCACACACACACACATACACACACTCGAGGTTAAATCTAAGGAATGATTTACTTAACCTTTACATAATAAACAAGGTTCAGAAACTATACCTTTAAACGTTCTCGGGGTCAGAGGTCAGGTTTGGCCAGGTGTGTCGTTCATACACATACGAGGGAGGCTATAATAAGTCTTACCATGTGTGGTGTGGTAGGGAGGGGAAGAGTTTTTTTGTGTTTCAATGTTGCAGTTAAGTCATATTTGGTTGGAAATAATCATCTCACTATATCTGTGCTGACATAAATAAGAGATTGATGGATGTATCTTATATAAATTTTTACCCTCCCTTTCCTTGTATCCTTCATTCATTCTTTCTTTCCTTCATTCATTCCTTCCTTGTATCCTTCCTTCATTCCTTCTTTATATCCTTCATTCCTTCCTTCCTTCTTTCCTTCATTCCTTCTTTCTTTCCTTCATTCCTTCTTTCTTTCCTTCATTCCTTCTTTCATTCCTTCTTTCTTTCCTTCCTTGTATCCTTCCTTCATTCCTTCTTTCATTCCTTCTTTCTTTCCTTCATTCCTTCTTTCATTCCTTCTTTCTTTCCTTCATTCCTTCTTTCTTTCCTTCCTACCTTCCACCCAACGTTATCATAATCTCATTTACACACGTACATACATTCCCCCAGATCCTCTTCAGACAACAAGCACTTGCACCCACACTGATATCCACAGCCACGCCCATACCTGCATTATCCCACAACAATTCCGCCCACAACCATCACCCACAGTCATCCATAAACATACTGGCAAATACAACCATTATCCACACGTCCACAGCTACACCCACAGCTATACCCACAGCTATACCCACAGCTATATCAACAGCCACGCCCACAGCTACACCCACAGCCACGCCCACAGCCACGCTCACGACCACGTCCACAGCCACGCCCACAACCACGTCCGCAACCACGTCCACACCCACGCCCACACCCACATCCACGTCTACATCCACGCCCACAGCCACGCCCACTAGATCAGTAACTTACCAATAAGGTCCCATTCCCCGTTCTTGATGAAATCGCTGAGGTCGCCACCGTCCTCAGACTGTAGCTGGAGATCGAGCTGAAAGAGGAGCAGGTGTTAGGCAGGTGTTAGGTGGGTGTTAGTGAGGTGTTAGTGGGGTGTTAGGTGGGTGTTAGTGAGGTGTTTTTGAGGTGTTAGTGAGGTGTTAGTGAGGTGTTAGGTGGGTGTTAGGTGGGTGTTAGGCAGGTGTTAGTGAGGTGTTAGGTGGGTGTTAGGCAGGTGTTTGTGAGGTGTTAGTGAGGTGTTAGTGGAGCAGTATTAGGCAGGTGTTAGGCAGGTGTTAGTTAGGGGTGTTGAGCAGGTGTTAGTGAGGTAAGCTACAGGTGTTAGTGAGGTATTAGGCAGGGTGTTAGTGAGGTGTTAGGCAGGAGTTAGTGAGGGTGTTAGACAGGTGTTAGGTGAGGTGTTAGGCAGTGTTAGTGAGGTATTAGGCATGTGTTAGTTAGGTGTTGAGCAGGTGTTAGTGAGGTGTTAAGCAGGTGTTAGTGAGGTATTAGGCAGGTGTTAGTGAGGTATTAGGCAGGTGTTAGTTAGGTGTTGAGCAGGTGTTAGTGAGGTATTAAGCAGGTGTTAGTGAGGTATTAGGCAGGTGTTAGTGAGGTGTTAAGCAGGTGTTAGTGAGGTATTAGGCAGGAGTTAGTGAGGTGTTAGACAGGTGTTAGTGAGGCGTTAGACAGGTGTTAGTGAGGCGTTAGACAGGTGTTAGTGAGGCGTTACACAGGTGTTAGTGAGGTCTTACTGAGGTAAACTTGCATACTTATAAATCTTGAAGAATCATTTCGGAAAATATTAAATAAATACTGTTGATATTTTTATCATCTATAATAATAATAATAATAATAATAATAATAATAATAATAATAATAATAATAATAATAATTTTAGCATTATACACAAGGCTTATTTCTCTAACTTAATTATATCTGAATGTTTTTTGATGATAAATCTTAAGAGAGAGAGAGAGAGCGAATTTCAATGCAAAATTTAATATTATCATTTATTTAATCATAAAAAAACAACATAATTTATCATACTAATTACCTCTAGAACCTGTTTATCATTAATAAAATAACTCAATTATTATAACACAATTATTTAACATATCTCGGACACATATAATTGTAGGTGACACATATGTAGTATCTACCTGACACTTACTGTATTACTTCACACAGGTAAAACTTATTTATATCTCATTAGTTAAATTATCTAACTCAGGTGAAGATAACGTGATACAGAGGGGAATTATTAGTTTTTCCTTCTATTTAATCTTCTATCTGTCTATGTATAATTAGTATAGATTCAGAATATGTACGATTATATATTTAAAAAAATCATATAAGAATTTCAGGACAAAAGTCAAAATACAGAAAATATATGAAAACTTGACCTCTAACTAAGTATAAGTGCGAGACTGTACATGATATGGTAATGTGAGCACATTGTAATTTAAGTACATCTTATTTGTGCCATGAATTTGGGTGATTATTCTTATTAAAAGTGTGTAGTGTACATAGTGTAGTGCACATGTGTACATGGGTGTAGTGCATAGGTGAGGTGTACATAGGTTAGGTGTATATGTGTGGGGTGTACATAGATTGTGGTATACATAGGTGAGGTGTACATGGGTGGGGTGTACATGTGTGAGGTGTACATGTGTGGGGTGTACATGGGTGTAGTGCACATGGGTGGGGTGTACACAGGTGAGGTGTACATGTGTGTAGTGTACATGGGATGTAGTGTTCATGGGTGCAGTGTGCATGGGTGGGGTGTACATGGGTGTAGTGTACATGGGTGTAGTGTACATAGGTGAGGTGTACATGGGTGAGGTGACATGGGTGTAGTGTACATGGGTGTAATGGGTGAGGTGTACATGGGTGTAGTGGTACATGGGCGTGATGGGTGAGGTGTACATGGGTGTAGTGTACATGGGTTAGTACATTTTCTTGGGTTTAGTATTTCCTTTGTGCTTCTACCTGTGTTTGTACCTGTACCTGTGTGTGTACCTGTACCTGTACCTGTGTCTGTACCTGTGTCTGTACCTGTGTCTGTACCTGTACCTGTGTCTGTACCTGTGTCTGTACCTGTACCTGTACCTGTACCTGTGTTTGTACCTGTACCTGTGTTTGTACCTGTACCTGTGTTTGTACCTGTACCTGTGTTTGTACCAGTACCTGTGTTTGTACCTGTACCTGTGTTTGTACCTGTACCTGTGTTTGTACCTGTACCTGTGTTTGTACCTGTACCTGTGTTTGTACCTGTACCTGTGTTTGTACCTGTACCTGTGTTTGTACCTGTACCTGTGTTTGTACCTGTACCTGTGTTTATACCTGTACCTGTGTTTATACCTGTACCTGTGTTTGTACCTGTACCTGTGTTTATACCTGTATCTGTGTTTATACCTGTACCTGTGTTTGTACCTGTACCTGTGTTTACTGTAATTGTCTCTCTACCTGTAGTGGATTTTCTAAATGACTAAAATGAGACAACTTGAAATACAATTCATATCTATATACACCTAAGGGGATTAATTACTAAAACATAGTTATTTATCTCCCCTCCCCCCTCTCTCTCACCCCACCCACCCCCTCTCTCTCTCTTACTCCCCTTCACACACACCCAAACACACACACCCACACACACCCACACACACACACCCACACACACCTTCCCTTCCCCATACCTGCCATCCTGAGTACGTCCAGGACCCAAACTTCATCTTGCACCGCTGATCATCGAAGGGGAACCAGGTAATATCTATTTTACAAGTCGATTTAAATATTCCTGGTGGGATGTAGAGGCAGTTCCCGTTGGATGAGACCACCACCTTGGTCTGATAGGTGCCGTCGAAACCCTCATCAGCGCTGCAAGAGAGAGGGAATGAGATGGAAACGGGGGAAATTGAAATCTATTGTAAGTTAGTGTAGAAAAGTGGAGTAGAAAGTTTTGTTTTCTTGATCTGGTAGGAGTGAAAGTTGTGTGTATGTGGAGAGAGAGAGAGAGAGAGAGAGAGAGAGAGAGAGAGAGAGAGAGATTAACGTGTATTTTTTTATAACTCTTCTCATCTTACGTAATAAAAAAAATCCATCTCACATTATATATAATTCATATAGACAGTAGTATATTTTACAGGGTGTGATAGAATGTTTATAACTGATTTATAAACATAGGTATACCGTATGTGATAGATTTTATAGTTTACTGAAAATTATCTGAAACCAATAGATTACAGAATAGAAAGCTAACTAATTTATCTAATTTTATCATTAATTTTAACACTAAATAATCTGTATCATTTATGTATTTATAATTATATATGTATGTATATATATAATTAGATGTATGTATATATGTAGAGACGTGTATATATGTATAATGGATATTTACTTACCCTTTTCAATGAGTCTGTATTAGGATTTGTGGGATGTGAAACTTACATATAAATCTCACACAGTATATATACAGTGTCACATAGGTTTCCTCACACAGTATATAAACAGTGTCACATGGGGTTTCTCACACAATATATAAACAGTGTCACTAAGAACACACACACACACACACACACACACACACACACACACACACACACACACACGTAGCAAGGCATTCATGGTGAACAACGGTATAAAGTCATCATATGTTAAGTGGCGTGCCTCTGTGTAATGTGCTGAGACCGATATTGTTTGTCTAGTTCAGGGATACTTTAAAATCAGCATATTGTGAGAACATTTACAGAATATTCTCTCTCAGCTTTTAGTAAGTCGTGTATATGGAGGCCAAGATTCATTAATGAGAAATAAAAGTGGCCATTATAACTGTAAGGAAGTGTAGTACATGTCCCAGCATAAAGGAGACAATTCCTAAAGATCCGAGTGCTATGATAACGAAATGATTCCTCGGATCATTGTGAGCAGAAGACGAATTTTGTTAATTTATACGACGATCCTACACGTACAGTAGAGAGCCTTTAGGAAGACTTCTGAGAGGTACTGTACTAACACACTTGAAGCCCTGTGACTCTGTTATGGCTCTCAGATACACCAGAGACTACTGATTGATCGGGAAGGCCCAGCGGAGGGCGACCAAATGGGTGGCAGCGCTCAAACACCTCACTATACAGAGGACCAAAAGATGATTCTGAAAGGAGTACAGTCACCTTAATGGGCATTGTTTAGTCAGCCTACATATCGGGAAGTATCTGATGATCGCCCTACTAGAGGTCAGAGCTTCAAAGTATGAAAACTATCAGCATGGAAAACTGTCAGAGCTGCCTTTTGAAGAGGTGGACTCGTGAAATAACCTGCCAGAGAACAGTATAATCTGACGAACACAAACATGTTGAGGTACGCTCAAGAGACTGTACGTGATTAATTCCTCCCAACAGTTCGTCTCAGAGAATAGACCAACCGCCCGACCGACGAGTAAGTTGGCACACACGCACCCAGTCTACTACCATAGTAAGCAGACCCTTTCTCACCTCCCTCAACTCTCCCCTTCCCCACCAAGTAACCGGTACTCTGATTGTTGATTAACTCACCGTGATTAATATACAGTGACAATTTCAACTCGAAAAATGGAAACAAGTGTTGACAGAGGAAACACCAGTGAGGCAAAGGACCAAATGAGAGGAGGAAGGACCCCAACCTATTAACACCTGGACCCTGTGTGAGAGGCCCTCGTCAACCATGTGTGATCCACTATACGACTACACCACGTGGACTGAAGCCGACAACACCCTGTGATCGTCCAGCTGTACAACACCACAGCTGCATCAGGGAGGTCAACAACACCCTGTGATCGTCCAGCTGTATAACACCACAGCTGCATCAGGGAGGCCGACAACACCCTGTGATCGTCCAGCTGTACAACACCACAGCTGCATCAGGGAGGTCAACAACACCCTGTGATCGTCCAGCTGTATAACACCACAGCTGCATAAGGGAGGCTGACAACATCCTGTAATCGTCCAACTGTACAACACCACAGCTGCATCAGACCTGGGACCAACATCTCCCCAACCACAGTGACAACTATCAGACCCCTGTTAACAGCGAGGCAGCCAAACAACCACGTGACTCAGAGATAACTTGTATTTTGCTCAACGTCTCCTTGTATTAAAAACCTTTGTTATACACTCCACTACCCCATGCCTAATACTCTATTGTCCTTTTGTCCAGTGTGTATTTTTAGCCTTTAGTTTTTGTGCTGTCCAATAATCCGTTCATTATTATTATTATTACACACACACACACACACACACACACACACACACACACACACACACACACACACACACACACACACACACACACACACACACACACACACACACACACACACACACACACACACACACACACCAACTCTGCCTTAACATATCGATGATAATTGCCTCAGTACTTAGATGTGATAATATAAAAAGATAATCGGCTAAAAAAAAAATAATTAAAGATAAATGGATAAACAATTCGACCCATGAGAAGTGATGTGGGATGTAGGAGTCATGAATCTGTTTGTTGTCCCGTGTAGGAGAGAATACACGGTTCAGTCGGGGTCAAAAGTTCACTCCTTCTCACAATGAAGCAGTATCGACCTCCAAAGTGAGATGAATCAGTCAAGATAAGTCAGTTTGGAGACTCATTCCCGTACCTTAGGATATGAAGGGAAAAACGATGTGGTAAGTGAAATATGCAGACACAAACATCGAAGTTAAATGACTCTGATTTAAGATGATTCTTTATTAAAATCTGGACATTGTTTTCCGATGTCTTTGTATATAAGATGACTATATATGGTCGTTCGAAGTGTTTAAATGCATTTGAAAAACGCCTCTTAACACGCATACCAACCTTCCCTGGACATCACGAGTTGCATGTAGCATTCTGGAAGTCATCACAGTTAGGTTAGGTTAGGTTAGGTTAGACATGTATAATTATATTTTTGTTTTTAATAAGAGACTAGGGTAAAAAAAATATCGATAAAACAACAACAAAAATATTAAAATAATCAAAACAAATTGGAACCTAAAATGAAGATTGTGGTTAGGTTGAAGGCTCTCACAGCTGGTCGTTTATGGTACATCTCTCTTAACACAACTGATATCACAGCAGCTTATCTATCCTTCATTATTATTTCTTATTTCTATATATTTTTTCCTTTGATAAACGCAAGCATTTATATTTCAGCTAATAAACTCACCTAACCCTGGGAGTAAGGTCATTCCTTGCACCACCACCGAGACTGGGAGGAGTGAGAATTACCAACCCAGAGGAACTTGCTGCCACTGAACATCAGAAGTCTGTCAAGTTCCCGGCAGCCCTCACTGAGCACATAGTACCTCAAAATGCAGCTAGTGATGTAGACACCATGGAATTACATAAAATTGAACGTTCCATTATGACAGAACGGCAGCACACCCAAAGCAAAAAACTCCAACAACTGATGCAACAACTGCCAGTGTACTTGAAGAGAGAAGTAACTGTAGCGCGGGAGGTTGGCGCCTGAAACTGGCTAACAATGATACCGGAAAGAGCAAAGGACTTCAGCCTTAATAAACAAGAATCAAAAGATGTCCGTGCTCAGGTATGGTAGACCAGTGGAAGGCATGGTCATCCAGTGCATGTGTGGAAAATCCTACATCAACCACACCACGGTATGCAAGATGGGAGGTTTTGTATGTATATGCCTCGACAAAGTAAGGGGCCTCACAGCACATATCCTGGAGGAAATATGCTGCAACATCATTGTGGAACTGACCCTCCTCCCACTGGACGGTGAGCGCTTCCTCTACTGGATTGCCAACACAACCAACGAAGCCCAAGTGGATGTCAGTGCTCGAGGATTGTGGACGAGGGGACAGCGACCCTTTTATGACATCAGAATCTTTGATCCTCTGGTCGCATGTTACCGTGACTTGTCTCTCGAGGCTGCACATAGGAAGAACGAGAATGACAAGAACAGAGCAAATGCACAGAGCATCCAAAATGTGGATCAAGGCAGCTTCACTCCTCTAGTGAGCACAACTTCAGACAGGATGGGACCAAGTGCATGATGTATCTATGCCAGACTGGCCGAGATGCTATCAGAACAGAAGCAGGAACCCAGATGTTACATCGTGGTCTGGTTGAGGTGTTGGCTATTATTCTCTTTGCTCAGGTCTGCTCTGCTGTGTCTCAGGGGAACAAGATCATCGGTCCCTAAACCAACAGAAGATCTTGGCAATTAAATCCGTTTGAAGAAAATTAAAACAATCAATACATCGTTCTTTTCAATGACAGACAGAGAGACAGGCAGACAGACAGCGTTGTATTAGCCGAGTTCCTTTTTGCCACCCTGACTTAAAAACAATTGACGAGGTTCAGTATAACGAGATTCTACAAGTAAGAAAGACAAAGCTCCTTTACTCTACATCTGTTCAAGTCATATCACGCGAAAAAGATAACAGCTGGACGCACAAAAGTTATACACTACTGCGTCCTTTTCCAGCTATATCACGCTTAAGCTTATCTATAATCTAAAACATTGACAGATGGACAGGTTGTGTTGTGTTGGGGGGGATCCATAGTTCACCCAGATAATGGAGACTAGGTGGAGGTAATGTGGAAGGCGTGGAGGTAATGTGGAAGGCGCGGAGGTAATGGAGAGGGCGTGGAGGTAATGTGGAAGGCGTGGAGGTAATTGAGAGGGCGTGGAGGTAATGTGGAAGGCGTGGAGGTAATGTGGAAGGCGTGGAGGTAATGTGGAAGGCGTGGAGGTAATGGAGAGGGCGTGGAGGTAATGTGGAAGGCGTGGAGGTAATGTGGAAGGCGTGGAGGTAATGTGGAAGGCGTGGAGGTAATGGAGAGGGCGTGGAGGTAATGTG